TAATACACTGTATGAACAGAACTGAGGACAAAAACCATATAATCCTCTCAATAGATGCAGAAAAATCATTTGACAAAGTCCAACACCAATTCATGATAAAAATGCTACCAAAAATTGGAATAGAAGGTCTTTATCTCAAGCTGATAAAAGCTATCTATGACAAAACAGCTAATATCATACTAAATGATGAAAAACTGAAAACTTTTATTCTGAAATCAGGAATAAGAAAAAATTTGTTCACTGTCACCACTCCTATTCAATATAGTTCTAGAAACATTAGCCAGAGCAATCAAACAAGGGAAAGAAAGAAAAGGAATAAGGGCAGGAAAGGAAAAAGTTAAATTATCATTGTTTGCAAATGACATGATACTATACATAGAAGACCCCAAAAACTCTGCCAGAAGACTTCTAGATTTAATAACCAAATTCAGTAGCATAGCTGGATATGAAGTCAAAACTCAAAAGTCAATAGCATTCCTGTACACAAATAACAAACTCACAGAGAGAAAATAGGGAAACCACACCTTTCACAAATAGTATCCAAAAAATGAAATATGTAGGAATTAATCTAACAAAAGAAATAAAAGTCCTTTACATTGAAAACTACAGCAGTCTGAAAAAGGAGATTGAAGAGGATATCAGAAAATGGAAGGATATCCCTTGTTCTTGGGTAGGCAGGAACAATATATTTCCAGGTTTTTTTTCGGGTATTGGGAATTGAACTCAGGACCTTGTGCTTGTAAGGCAGGCACAGTGCCACTGAGTTAATTCCCTGACCTCTGGCAGAACCAATATAGTGAAAATGGCTATACTCCATATCAAATTGTTATATAATTTTAATGTAATCTCTAGCAAAATGCGAATAGCATACCTCACAAAACTAGAGAAGACAATCCTAAAATTTATTTGGATTCAGAAGACATCTTGACTAGCATAAGCAATTCTGAACAACAAAGGCAAGGCAGAGGGAATCACGATCCCAGACTTAAAAGTATTCTACAAAGCTAAATTGATAAAAACAACATGATACTGTCAAAAAAATTCCAAAACAATAACAAAAAAGACCCGAGGATCAATGGAACACATTAGAAGATGCAGAAACAATTGCAAACACACTCAGCCATCTTATCTTAGACAAAGGGGCCAAACACCTTCATTGGAGGAAAGTGTCTTTAATAAATGGTGCTAGAAAAATTGTCCAGAGTCAAACACATGCCGAAGAGTCAAACTAAACCCATACCTTTCACCATGCACTAAAATCAAAATTGATCAATGTTCTAACTATTAAAACAGAAACACTAAATCTGCTGGAAGATAGAATAGGTAGAACACTTGAAGACATTGGTGTAGACAAAGACTTTATGAACAAAAACCCAATCATATAGACAATATCACAAAGAATCAACAACTGGGATCTCATCTTATTAAAAAGCACTTGCAAAGCAAAAGAAACCACCAACAGAGGTAAGAAACCACTCACGGTGTGGGGGAAATTTTGCCAGCTGTTCCTTAGACAAAGGACTAATATCTAGAAAATGTAAAGAACTGAAAACAAAATATCAGACCCTTCCAAATTTAAAAATCCTACCCAAAGATGGGCCTGTGAAATGAAAAGACATTTCTTAGATGAAATAGAAATGCAAATAAATATAGGAAAAAATGTTCAACATCACTAGCATTCAAGAGATCCACCTCACTCCACAAAGAATGGCTGTTATCAAGGAATCAACCAATAACAAATGTTGGAGGGGCTCTGGGGAAAAGAAACCCTTCTCCACTGTTGGTGGGAGTGTAGACTGGTACAACCACTGTGGAAATCAGTGTGGAGATTCTCCAAAAAACTAAAACTAAGGGCTGGGGGTTTAGCTCAGTGGCAGTGTGCTTGCCTCAGAGCAAGGTCCAGAGTTCGCTCTCTAGTACCAGAGAAAAAAACAAAAACAAAAGACCAAAAAACTAGCATCCCCACTTGACCCAGCTACTCTCCTTATATTCCCCCAAAAGACAAAAGAATTAAAAGCAAGATACCACAGTGAGGTATGCATACCCATGTTTATAGCAGCACAGCTAGGAATTGCTAATTCTTAGAAACAGCCTAGGGCTGCCATGGAACTTTCTTCATTTTCACCCCTCTTTAAGTCACCTGTGGACTTTATATCACTTAAGTCTCCACTGCAAACATTCCCGTCAAGCTGACCAAGGATCTGGCTCAGAGGAAGCCAAGTGTCGAGGACAGCACCAGAACTGTGATGCTGTGTTGATGCTTGAGGACATTTGTCCTTGACTCTGAATGCGGAGGGCTTGGAAGCAGTCGGAACTAAGTTTGTCAGAGCAATTCTGCAATAAGTGTTCTAGTTATCTCAAACCATCGAATGGGGGAAGAGGGAGTGGAGGGGGTTTCCCTACAAAGTATCCTTACTGTTCAAGACACCCTGGCATTTTTGCATATTCTTTTTTTTTACCCATAAAGTCTTTATTTTTCAAGTTTGGGAATCATAGATTTCCACTGCTAGGCTTCCTCTTTTTTTCTTCCCCTCTCTTGGTACCAGGGATTGAACTCAGGACCTTGTGCTTGTGAGGCAGGTGTGGCGCCACTGAGCTTAATCTCTGGCCCCCATTAGGCTTTTTTAATGGGGACCATGTGACCCACTCCTTGAAGACTACTTTTTTTGTGAACTGAGTTTCAAACTTTCCAAGTGCAAGGACTTAAAAGTTGAAGCCCATGAGAGATGTCTTCATTCACTGGGCATATCCCTAACTTGCCACATGGATCTATTTCGCTGGTAGCAGAAAATTCCATCAACTCACCCATCTCGCCATCAGTGAAAATGATTCAAGGATAGTGTGACAGTCCATTTAAAAAATAGGTTTGGGACATTATTTTATTCACCCTCACTAATGTTTCCCAACACAAGTTTTTCTTGGGTATATTATTTTCAATATTCAGACTCTGAAATCTCATTACAATCAAACACTTAGTGAAAGGTTTCTAGTGGCTTAAAAGTTTACTAGCTCTTAAGGATATGGTGCAGTGATTTATATAGCAAGGAACCATTGTATTCAATTTTCAAAAGTTCCAGAACTTGGTAGGAACAGTCATGTTGTAACGCCTATCACTTCTGAGTACATTTTTTATACAACAGTGATTACATTAACATTATAAAAGAACAGCTTGTGGTATTAAAAAGAAAAGCTATAAATTTTATTCTTGACCTTGTTTCCAAATCCTGTCTTCCATTTTGTTGTACTTCCTGACCACTCTTAAGAAAAACTCAGAAGCCTTTGAAGAAACTGGCTGTTATTTTATCAAAGTGTACAAATTAAGTGCTTGATTTTCAATGTATTCGCTGTGTTTTGATTTTTGAGATTTCTTTAATATTTGAAGATGTGCCTTTTATTGGGTAATGCTAATTCACAAATGTAGTAATGTGATTTAACATTGTAATGACCATGGCTGTGGCATTCTCTAACACAACGATGTGAAAGGAAAGTAGCTTTCATAAAACTCATAGCTCTGATTGCATAGTCCCACTTGTTCCTGATGTTGTTATATTAAAGCAAAGAGCACTTTCTTTTAAAGCTACTTTCAGAGCTTGTCTTTGTATTTGCTTGAAGCTATAAGCGCAAGTAATGTCATTTGGAGGCCAGGGTACCACTTGTCACAGGCAGCCTTATGTGTGTGCCATGAGAAAGTTCAAAGACTGTTAACAAAAATGAAAGTCTGCGGGAAGTCAACATTTCATTTTTTAAATGGTAATTCCCAAGATTTTCTTCAAGAAATAAATTGTTATTTTGTATTTTATAACTTAAAAGCAGCTATTTAGTACATTTCTGAGATGATAGCAGGAGACCAAAATATTTTTGGAAAGAGAATAAATATATAAAGAAAGACTTATGGTTTATTTTCAGCATGCAGAATATATAGACTACTGTTTATTTTGTGAGTGGATGTGATGAAATATTCAGGTGTTTAGTGTATAATTAAGAGTGGAATATAGATTTCTTTGGAGTTATTAAATCCATTATGTCTTTTACATAATGAACAAATCAAGTTTAAAAAACTTTACATAGCTTAGCTTGTATTCTGGTGCTATTGACCTGCAAGAGAATATACTTTTGCATGTATATAGGTAAATATTTTGCAATTCATGTATACAAGAAAATGTAGGCATTAAACTATTTTATTGATATTTTAAAAAAGGAACAGCCCAGGGCTGGGGATTAACCTAAGTGGCACCACACCTGCCTCCCAAGCACAAGGTCCTGAGTTCGACCTCTGGTATGAGGGGGGCTGCCCAACGTCCATCAACCAATGAATCGATAAAGAGGATATATATGATATATATGCGATGTGATATATATGACACAATATATATATTATTATGACATAAACTTGAGACTTTTCTAGGTAAACGGATGCACCTTTAGATCATACTCTTAAGTGAAATGAATCACACTCAATGTTTAAACATCACATTGTTTCTCTGGTTTGAGAAACCAAAAGTGTAAATAAAGGCCAAAATGTACAACAGATACTGCGAAACAGGAAGAAAATGTTCAAATGGGAGAGGAACAAGGGAGGGGGGATTGGCCAAGGGAGGGAGGGAGAAGGAATAAATAATAGAAGGAAAAAATAGAAACAAAGCTTTTGTAAATAAGGAGGGGAAGAGGGGTTGAGGGAGGAGGAGGAGGAGAGGGGAGGGGAATGGGAAAAAAGAAGAGCCGAGATATTTCACATACAGGTGCAAATTCCCCATGAGGAAAGCTGTCAATATGTATATCTAAAATGTACCGATAAAACCGATTTTTAAAAAAACGTAAAAAAAGTATAGAGTGTGCAAATAAATCCATTAACAGTGATTATCTCAAGGGAGGGAGGACGAGCAATTCTGACTTTAAATTGCTGCAGTGACTGAAGCTTTATATTTACAATGATCTTGCATCACTTTTGTGAGAAGAAAAATCTCAATAAAGTTGAACGCTGCAAATGCATTTCGGAATACCTGCTGCAACCATCTCACTCAACAATTTCATCTCCAGGTCACCTTCTGCGGCTTTCGCTTCTTTCTCGACAGAAGCCTACAAACAAAACACAACAAATCACCGCACGAAAACCTGAAACAGGAGGACAGAGTTTGCACCTCAGCCCAGTCGTCCTGTGCTCCCGTCCCCACTTCCTATGGCTGCCACCTGGATTCGAGGGCCCCAAACCGATCTCTGCTGTGGCCTAAAATTAAAATCAGAAGAGCACAACTCCAAGGACGGTCACCTCCGCCCAGATTCTCCTCTGAAAACCCCGAGGCGTAAAATGAAACTACAGGAAAGCAATCCCAGTTGCAGGAAGTTTCCTTTAGGGTTAAGACGATGCTCACCCTGTCCCTCCGAAGGAAGGTCCCACGCGACAGGTGCAGGGCTGCACGGGGCGCCTGGGCCTCTCTGGAGGAGAGAGGCTGGAGCCCGAGCGATTACAGACCCGGGGCAACTCCAGGTGAGAGGAAACACGGCCACACCCGCCGCCCTCGCCCGCCCTCCGCCGGACGGAGTTGGAAGGTGCGGTCCCCGCGGCCATCCCTTCGACTTCGGCTGGGGATCTCGCTGCTGCGAGCTTGCGAAATCCCCCGAGGTCCGAGGTTGCAGCACACTTAGATTAGAGACGAGAAGCCTGCCAGTCGCCTGGCTTTGGGAAAGGGTGGCACATCATTTCCTAGAGCGCAGCGGTCAGCATCCACCTTGGGCAGGTCCAGAACTGCTGCGTGCACCAAGTCCGGGAGCCCACGGGGCTCACTGCGCTGGCCCGGGACGCGTCTGGGCCCCTCCCAGCGGGGCGCTAGGGCGAAGCACAGCCACGCGGGACCCACCGCGACGGTGGGCAGGTGCTCCGCAGTGTGGCACAGGACACCACAGTCCCTGCTGCCCCGACCACAACCCCTGTTGGAGCGGGAGCTGGGGTTCCCGCACGAACAACTGCTCCAGGCTCTTCACTACTCGCGGTGGCACCAGGGTCCGAGGACCTTGGTAGTAGCCGAGCTGGCATCCGCGGTGCCTGAGGGAACCCCCGTCACCCGACAGAGCCACCGCCCCCACGGAAGGAGCAGCCGCAGTGTCCCGTCTCACTGGCACACAGATTCAGCCGTTCCCAGGGCACAAACTCAAAATCACAGCGAAAGGAGTTACAGGGACTTTACACTATCGTGACTGGCTGCAAACGAAGCCACACTGCATAACAAATACGGTACCCCGCGCCATATCCTGAGGAGAAAGCCATTCACTAGTGAAAGTGATAGTGGCTTCTCAGTCACCCGATTGTCAGATCTGGACATAGGAACACAAGAAATAGAAAACAGCAAGGTAGTATGATATCTCCAAAAGTTCCTGACCCTAGCAATGGAGTCCAAAGAAAGAAATTCAAGCCGATGAAATGCCTAATTACGAATTCACAGTGGTGCACACCTGTAATCCCAGCACTTTGTGAGGCCGAGGCAGAAGGATCTCAAGTTTGAGCCCAGCCTAAGCAATTTAGGAGGCCCAGCCTCAAAATAGGAAATACAAAGCTCTGGGAATGTAGTTTGGTGCCACAGTCCTGAGTTCAAGTCCCACTACTGCCAAAAAATAAAAATCAGAAAAACAATGGAATGAAATTTAGCAAGACCAACAGAATACAAATGAGAAATTCAGTGAAGAGATAGAGATTTTGAAAACGACTCAGAGAAATCTTGAAAAGAAAATGCTCAAGAAGACAAATGAGGCATTGTGTCAAACAGAGATCAAGCAAAACAATGAATACCTAAATTTGCAACAGAAGTTTTTTGAAATATCCCAGCAGCAGGAGGAGGGGGAGGAAGCGGGGGGGGGCTGAAGCTTGGGGGACATAGAGGGGTTAGATTGTCTTTTACAACTGGAACATCATTAAATGAACAAATATCCACATCTTTGTAACACCTGAACTCAAGGAGAGAAAAACTGAAAGAACAGAAAACACGTTTCTCAACTACAAAGTGAGACCCTGTCTCAAAAAACAAAACAAAACAAACAAATAAAAACAAACCAAAACAGCTAGAAGAAAACAAAAGGCCAGGAATAAGTCTGTACTATTCAATAATAACCTAGAATGTAACGAACTAAATTCTCCCATTAAAGATAGAGATTGGCTGAAAGAATTGTTTAAAAAGACCAAATAAGACGCTGCCTATAAGAAACTGAAGACATAAACAGACTGAAAATCAAATTTTGTTGCCAGTGTTGGTGCTTGCTATGGTTTACATATGGATTGTCCCCCCACGTCCATGGGTGAGAGGCTGGGTCCCCTGGCCGGAACTGTGGACCCCGAGGAGGGGGTTATAGGGTGCTTAGATATTGGGGGCAGTGGGATCCCGGTTCCCCTTTTCTTTTGCTTCCTCCCCATAAGGAGAGCAGTTTGCACTCTTACTGCTATTTAGCTTCTGCCACCCGAGGCCTGAAAGCAATGAGTTTGCCTGATCCTGCACTGGAACTCTTATACCACGAGCCACAAGAAACCTTCTCTCTTGGTAAGTAAATCATCTCGGGGAACTTGTTTTATTGATGGGAGCTAATGCGGGGTACAAAAAAATGATACCCCAAGGTGTGGTGTGGTTTCTTGGCCTGCTGAACATCTTGAGCTAAAGGAAAGTAAAAGGTTTACGAAAGTACCCCAGAGCCAAAGGAGCTGTGGCCACCTCCTCCAACCCAAGCACCGGGAGAGCTCTCTCTGGGATTCCCTTACCTACCTAAACTTTAGATCAAGTCTGAAAAGCAAACAGTTATCTTCAGTCCTCTCACTGAAATTGCATTAAAGTAAAATCAGATCGCAGAGGACAGTGCTGGGAATCAAACTATGCATGGAGATCAGAGAGCTTTGTCCCAGGCTCCTGACCTCGCCGGGTCTATTCAGCTCCTCTAAAATCATTCACTGCTCTTCTCAATTGCCCCATCCTCCGGTTTCTTGTCCTTTGTGAAATGTGTATTCAAGCTGTAAGCATCTGGCCCTTCACGGAGTTTCAGATTTGGTCTTCTGTGCACACTGTTTGTGTATTTCTTTTCCTATTAATCGGTTTGTTTGTTTACTTCGGGCGATTGAACGACTGGCCCTTTGCAGGGAAAGTTTAACTTCTCACAGCAGCTGTACCATCAGAATGTACTCTTGCACAAAACTTTGAACCTCAAACCTCAGTTGGTGACAATATACTTTACTACTACACATTATGAAGCTTCTTGTGTTTGTTGACAATGAAGCTAAAAATATATTTTCTTCAGGCTGCTGGTCGTGGTGCACATCTGTAATCCCAGCATGCAGGAGGCTGAGGCAGGAGCATCACTGTGAGTTCTAGGCCATCCTAGGCTAGTGAGTTCAAGGGCCAACCTGAACTACAGAGACCATCTCAAAAAACAAAACAAAAAATATCCTTTCGTTATTCCTAGTTTCATCACATTTTACATCTAGCAATAAAAGTCCTTTTTCACCATAATTTTTACAAAATGGCCATTTTTCATGTATATTTTTCTTCTAAATAAACTTGAATAGTGTTTTGTCAAAGCTGAAAAATCACCAGTTGGGGGCCAGGGATTTTGTAACTCAGCAGTGGAGTGCCTGCCTGGCAAGCGCAAGGCCCGGGTTTGGTTCCCCAGTACAAAATAATTAGCCATTGGAATTTTTGAGTTGCACTGTTTATAGATTTATAATAACCTATAATAACATTACACTGCATTTATACCATGAGATCACCTCTCACTCCAGCCGGCAATGCCCGACCTCCTCTGCCCCCTGCACCTTCTGATTTCATCCCATCCAAGTCCATCGCTTTCTTCCTGGTCCTCATTTCTCCCCTACAACCCTTGCCTTCAGTGTGCCCAAGGATATTTTCACTATCATCAGCCAAGTCTCCCTGTTATCTGGGTCTTAGCCAATTACCATCCCGTCAGGCAGGCCCTCTCCAACCGCTCCATCTAAACATCTGACATCTGCTGATTTTCTTATCTTTTGTGGGCTTCCCCTGACATGATGCATTGTGTCCTGGGAGTCAGAGCAATGACTGCCATGCTGAGAGAGGCATTCAACAAATACTCGTTGAATAAAGAAAAAACAGCAAGGTCCAAGAAGAGATGACGATAGAAAACCACTCATCAAGTGAATGTGTGGAAGGGTGAAGGTTGTTGAATGCTAAGGAGATTTGATGCAATTTCCATGGATTTTTAATTTGTCTGCAGTGGTGCAAAGAAATCCCAAACATCTCAGATAGTTCATGGATCGATACCTCTCCCACCGACCAGGATAACTCCCTTTCCTCCTTATCAGCCTTCCGTGGCTACATCAAAAGATTCGGGCCATATAAAGTTTTCTTATCAGAGAAGACGATTTGTCCACTTGTTTTTATTCTATGTTGGTTTAATCCCTAGGTCTTCAAGCGTAGTGTCTCATTGAACATTAACTGTTACTCTTCTGCACAAGGCTGTGATCATATTTAATTCCTTATAGGAGAAACTTAGTAAAGCTTGACAAATAACAAATTTATGTTGTGTATAATTATATACAGTACACAATTTTTATCTTAAGCCCTGAATCTATTTAGAGTATCTTAGACTATCTTACTTGTTTTGTTTTGCTTGTTTTTTTGGTGTTTTTTTGAGACAAGTTCTCACTATGCTGTTCAGGTTGGCTTTGAACTCACTGTGGAGTCCAGGCTGGCTTTGAACTCCTGACATCTTCCTGTCTCAGCCTCCTGAGTGCTGGACTACAGAAATGTGCCACCACAGTTGGCTGTTTAGAGTATCTTAAAGACAGACTACTTGTAACTTGAACTTTAAAGTAATTCAAAGCCAGGTATGGTATACATGACTGTAATCCCAGCACTCAGGAAGCTGATGTAGGAGGATTGCCAAGAGTCTGAGCCCAGCCTAGGCTACATAGAGAGTTCAAGATCAACCTGAGCTACACAGGAGACCCTGCTTAAAAAGCAGGGGCGGGGCGGGGATTTAGCTCAGGGGTTCTGCAGCCTGCCTTGTAAGGGCGAGGGCCTGAATTCGATCCCCAGTACCCCGTCAAAAAAAGTTACAGTGATAAACAG